TGTTTACGCAGTCAAACTAAAAAAGGCCAAACTGACATTTTTGTTCAAGCAGATTTATTTTTTTTTCCTCCAGGGAAACAAAATAAAATAATGGAAAGCTTTGAGCAAGTGAGGAGCTCAGGCTGTAGCTGGTTTCCTACCATAAAGCAGGAGGGCAGGGCAGGGCATGGCTCTGGCTGTCCCCACAGTGTGCCTCCTTCTGGGGGCTGCTCCTTGTCCCAGGACACATCCATAGCTTCATCGGTGGGATTCAGCTCTCCTGCCTGTGGGCCAATCTGTCCTTCAGTCCCAAGGCACAAGAAGAGCTTGGTCCTGTACTGAGAAAATCCTTGCAGTGCCCCAGAGCATCCTTGGGATGCTTCTCCAGGTGGCACCTCTCACTGGGGGCAATTGGAGGACAGGCGCGTTGGTGTCCGGGGACTGCAATGAGGAAACATGGCACGGCCATGTGAGTGGCAGCTCCTGAGAGCGCTGTAAATAATGGAACACTTTTGTCTGTCTGCTTTTCCCAGCCATTGAAAAATCAATGTGGGTGCGTGCTGTACAGCGCGATGCTGTCCTGCAGGGAGCGAGGTGGCCTTAGGATTAGGACCCATGGGAGGACCCATGGCATGGGCAGAGCCAGTCTTTGTCATGGGGTCAATAGAAGGGTGGGGGTATGAAGGGCAGATTATCAACTGCTGGGAAATGGAGATGGAGCCCTCCTTAGGCATGTCCTGCTGCTTCCACCCCTGATATATGCTGAGCCAGCATCATCATGTTGTGATGTCCCTGGCCCAAAGAGGCAAGAGGAGTTGGACTCAATGACCTCTATGGGTCCCTTCCAGCTCGGGATATTCAATGGTTCAAAGAGGAACATCCTGCAATGGTTTCTGGGCTTCAGTTCTCCTGTAGCAGAGGCAGGACGGCCTCTTGCTCACTTTCAGCCAAGCAGTGCTAGCTCTGCATCAAGGGATGAGGAAGCCATCCCACCACCCCCTGTCCACATCCTTTCATTTCCAAACAGTTCGTTTCCACCAGTCCTCCTTCAGCACTTCTATCCCCTCCTCGACAAAAAGAGCTAATTCTTTTCAAAACACAATGGAAATTCAAAGCTCTGCTTACATAAAAGCAGCCGTGGTGTCTCCATTTCTAATGAGTCATTGTTCCCTCTGCAAGTCCCTTGCTTCTTATTACAATACTCACTTCTCTTGGGTAATGAAAATTTAACCATCCGCTGTTCCCGCTTGCCTCTTCACTTCTTGCAGCACACCGGCTGCTTTGTGCACAGGGGGCTGCAAGTGGAAATCATTCAGGCAAGGACTCGTGCAAACATCACAGCCCTCAGAGGGCTGAGGGAGCGAGGAGCCGCTGCGGGCGCTGGGATGGGCTGTGTGCTGTGTAAGTGCATCTTGGGCTGCCAGAGGGTTTGGGTTCTTGGCACTGCATGGAGATGCTGGGGCTCCTCTGGAAGTGCTGCAGTGGTCGCAGTGTGATTTCCCTTGGAAGTCCCAAATGTCACAGAGTATCGGTCTTTGTTTGAGAGAACAAGGCAACGTTACAGAGCAGCACTGAAAAGCAGGAGCCACAGGTGCAAAATCCATTAAGGAAATATAAAGACTTCTAAAGTGGTTCTCTTTCTCTCCCCCCCTCGTCCCCCCCTTTTTTCTTATACTTTTATGACATGCTTGTGACTTCATAAGGCTCCTGCCTGTGATTTTTGAAAGCAGAGTTAGCGTTACTGCCGGTCGCAGTTCGCAGCAGGTGCTTTATTCTCCCATTTTGTTCCCAGCATTTAGGATTTCAATAGCTGCAGAAGTGCCTCCTGCTTTGGCCTTCAAGAGGTTCCCCCAGGAGGGCAGGAGGTGGCCGGGTCAGCACAGCAGCTCCTGCAGTGTCCTGGGCTGCAGACAGTTCCTCAGGCCATGCAGCAAAGCCAGCAGCCAGCAGTGAAGCTGGGCACAAAGGATCCCTGGCAACTTCTCTGCTGCCAGAGTCCCCAGACCCAACACTGGGACCCAGGAGGAGGTTAGCATCTTGTCTGCATACCCCTTGGTGGGGTTTTTTGAGGGTTTTTTTCTCTAGGGTTGGTTTTAACTTCAGGCTCTGCAAGAATTTAGGGTTGGCTTGTATTTAAAACCAGACTCCTATGGCTAACGCTGTTCAATGCCCAGATGGGGCATGGGAAGTCTGTGGGAAATAGGACTTCTTGTGGACCTGCGGCATCCCATGTGGTGGATGAAACCATGGAGCCAGAGGATTGTTTGGGATGGAAGGGTCATCCAATCCCAACCCCTTCCAGTTCCATTCTGTTTTGGCTTTGGCACCTCAGAGCTGTGCTCTGAAGCCCAACTGCCACATTGTAACTATGCTGTAAAAGTTCACGGGGATGAAAAAGCCAAAGCGGAGCGTTTCAGCCCATTTCCTTGCAGCTGAAACCACTCACCCTGCGTTTGTAAATCATCCTTTCCCAATTTCCCCGTTTCCAGCTATTTTCTGTCAAGTATCTTATCTCCTTTAAAACTTTCTGCAAATTACTTGTTCCTTTGACATTAAGACATAAGACGGCTAAAAGCTGCATCGTGAGCAGCCCTCTGATCTCCCAAACCCAGTTAAACCCAGTAATCACGCATTAAGCTGATTTGAAAGCGAGTTGAGCTCTGCCTTTGGTACTTCTTTTTTTGGCTTTTTTTTGGCTTTTTTACAGAGCAGTGTGGAGCGGGGCTGGGCCAGGTGCTGCTCTCTGTGTCCCTCCCCTCTCCCTCCTCTGCTGCCAACGTCACTCAGCCCCCAGACGGATCCATGTGCAATAAAGGTTCGCACCGACCATTTTTCACACTGAGCAAACAGAGGGAAGGGCAGGACAGCAGACATATGCTGTGCTCTCACTCTAATTTCCCATGGCCGCCAGCTGCTTTCTGAAACAAATCAAGGAAGGGAAAAGGGAGAACAACAAAAAACATCACAAAAATGGCTTCATTTCCAACAGCAATTACCAAACGAAGCCTCTGCTTAATGGGCATTTTCAGGGGGCACAGCCACCACTTTGCACTGCTCCTTTCTCATTATGGCTCTTGCAGCTCCCAGCTGATAAGCTGATAATTCTGGCTGATTAAATGAACTTTGTTTGGTCATTGCTGCATTCCAGTGCTGTCCCTGCTTGCCCGGCTTACTTTGGGAATGGTTGGGATTATGGAGTGAGCCATGAAACATAGGGAGTGGGTGGGAAATGTGAATACAAAAGGCAGAGTGCTCACTGCGTTCTGCCTCCTCTCCTGATCTCCTTTCTCCCATCCCTGCTTTTCCCATTATTTCAGTGTTGTGCATTTAAGCTGCAGAGCTGTTAATAATTCCTATGAAATCTCTGTATCCCAGTTCAGATGAGCGCACGTTTCTCGTGGTGCTGGGGCTCAGTGTGGCTGTAGTGTGTCCCAGCAGGACAGCGTCAGGGCAAGAAGGATGGCCTTAAGGTGAGGGAGGGGAGATCAAGTGAGATGTGATGCAGAGAGCAGTGGTGCCCCATCCCTGCAGGTGCCCTGGGCAGCCTGAGCTGGGGGCTGGGGCTGTGGGGAGCCAGAACTCTGTGATTTGGTGACTCTGTGAGCCAGCAGCTCCCATGGCTGCTGTGGTTGGATGTGTGTAGCACAGCGTCATGCTGAGGTCCAGCACTGTGACCTCTTGGAGCCCCCGTGATGAAAATCAGGCTGCCCTTCAAGCATGGGAGTGGTGGAGCCTCTGAAATACCTCGGAATAAGGTGCTGCAGTGCATCTGAATTCACAAAAATTTCCTCAGAGCTTTTCAATCTGCTGTATAGAACTGGTAGAAATCCCCAAAGGATGGCTCTGCTCCTTCCCACGTACCCTCAGCTGGCTGAGAGCAAGTCAAGCTGCAATAAATTAAATGAAATATAAGTATTCACATTGGGAGCTTAGGCTGGTTTAGCAGCACGAGTTGGAAAACGACTGAGCTTTGCAGCTTTGCCCTGTAGGCAAGGCCCAGCAACTCATTTGGAAACAAGTTTAGTTGCAAGAACTTGTGTCACACTTAACCTTGGTTTAGGATTAATCATCAGTCAATGATTAAATTGAGTTAATGCAAATTAGGATTGAATTGATCTAGGGTGGTTCGTGTGGAAGCTGTCCTAGTTTTAATGCATTGATTTTGAAGTACCTTTTCCAGCAGCCCGGTGTGATGTGGGGTATTGAGCTGTCATTGAGCTCTGGGTGTGAGTTTCTTGTTCTGTGCTTGTTCCAGAGCAATAATTAACGCCCAGCAGGGCTCCTGAATGCTGAAGCCCCGAGGTGGCACAGCGAGGAGCAGTCCAATTGCTCTGATCTCTTTTCGAATCTCTCCCTTCCCACAAGTGAGCACGACTCAGATGCTCAGCAAACACAAAGCATCGCCCTCCGATGTGCCCAAACACCAAAGGATCAGCCTAAAATTGGGTAAGAGAGGGGTATTTAAGACTTCAGCATCAGACAGCAGTGCTGCATCCCTGCCCAGCTCTCTGGGATAGCCCAGGTTTGGTTCAGGGATGCTTTGCAGTCATTTCTTCTTGCTTTTGTGCTATTTTCTTCACAGGATGCCAGAGGTAGGCGTCAGCATTCACACCTTGCCCGACTGCAAAGCAGAACACTCATTCTGGGGGGAAAAAAAAAGAGAGATTTAACACCCAGAATGGTTTTCAGTCATGACAAAGCGAAGGAACGATGATGAATTTCAAGGAGTGAAAATAAAACATAATGCCAGCACTTAGCGCGCCCTGATGGGAAATGGGTTAGAGTGAACCAGCAAGGTTCTTGTGGAAAATGAGATGCTCTGCTCCCTCAGGAGGTGTGAGACGTCTCCATGGTGCAGAGGTGTCCCAAAGGCTCGGAGCCATCACTGCATCCTTAGGGGATCATAGAACCATAACCACAGAGCAGTTGGGTTGGAGTTCAGCCCCACGCAGTCTGGGGCCGCTGCACCCCGAGGTGCCGCCGGGGTCTGACAGCCTTGTCCTCTCTCGTCCCCTCTCCAGGTCAAGCATCCTCCTTCACTCAGCAGCCCCAGGACCAGGTGGTGATCGCCGGGCAGCCCGTGACGCTGCTGTGTGCCATCCCCGAGTACAATGGCATTGTGCTATGGATCAAGGACGGGCTTGCCCTCGGCGTCGGACGGGATCTCTCCAGTAAGTGGGGGCACTGCGGTGCCCAAGCAGGAGATGCTGCCTGGCAGCAGAGCTCAAGCCCTTAAGCTGTCATTAATTGCAGGTCGGGGTAATAGATGTTAGGGAACGCCTCTGGAAAAATAAGAAGGAAATGAGCGCTTGCCGCAGGTGAAAGCCATTTCTCTTTAACAGCCTCAAAACAAATATTTGTTTTGAGAAAATGAGTGTTCTCATTGGAACTGCAGAACCCTCTGGCTGCACCCACACGAGTGTTCAGGTTTGGAATGCCCAAAGCCTTGGCTGCGGCTCGAGGCTGGGCAGCTGGTTTCCCACAGGTGGGGGAAGGAGTTGTCCTGTTCCCAAAACCAGGCTGAAATGCTTCACGAGCACTGACAGCCTGTCTTGGCTTTGTCAAAAAAAGAATTGTTTGGATAAATGCGTTTATTGAGATCCAGCAGAGCCCTCAAATCACAGTTTGGTAATAAAGCTCCTCCGATTTCTCATTATTTAATCCCATTGTATGGGACTGCAAATGGTTTTCTTGCCACTGGAGAAGACTGGAGCAACTGTGGAGTAAAGATCCAATTTATCCTATATATTTTGCTGAAAAATACAATTATTTTTTTAAATATTTCCCCAAAATGAAGGGGAAAGGCTCACTTGAGAGTCAGCAGCCTGCACCCCAGCATGCAGAGCCAGCAGCAGCCAGAAACCAACGGAGAAATCATGATTCTTGGTCTCCAGGGGCCCTGCTCTCCTCTCAGGAGAATGCTGCTTTTCTTTCTCTTGGTGTTTGTTGTTGTTGTTTAAAAATCTGTATAATTATCCATTTGCCTGAGTGAGCAGTCCCTTCTTCAGATGTTTTTCAAAGCTCAGTGCCGCAGCTCTTACCCACAGCAGAGCTGATCCTTCCCTACAAGACCTTGCAGCACGGATGGGTGACAGCAGCTCTGCTGAAGTATGTGGCTCATGTGAACAACTTCCACAATTAGCAGAGCTGGGGCTGCTTTAGCAAGAGGAACTGCCAGCTCGTGTGCTGCCGGCTCAGCCAGTCATCTAATTAGCTAAATACAAACAAACCCATCATTTGTATTTCTTGCGGTTCAGGAGAGCAAATCCTGCTGCTGATAGCTTGCGAAACAACAAAAACACAGGAGCGTGCCAGGCTGCCTGCGCGGCACTGAGCATCAATCAGCAGCACGAGGAGGGACGGACACACTGATGGCCGCTTTCCTTCCGTGGTGCTTCGGGTGTCACACAGCCATGCAGAGGGCAGGCTGCTCCTTGGAGGCCGTGCCCAAGCTTTGCGCAGACCAAACTGGGCAATGCCATAGAATCACAGCGTGGGTCGACTGGAAGGGACCTCACAGCCCCCCGGCCCCATTCCTGCCATGGGATGGATGCCCCTCTTGGGCTCCTCCAGGGATGGGGACCCACTTCTCAAGCCCCTCTGGGTGGCATCCCTTCCTTCTGTTGTGCCAGCTGCAGCGCTCGGTTCGGTGTCCTGCGCAAACTGCTGAGGGCACACAATCTCGTTGTGAAGATAATTAACAAAGACGATGAAGAGCAGCATTTCTGCAAATATCAGAGGATTTCAGCCCAACCACAAACACAGCATAAGGAATAAGAAATCCCATGGTAGGTCTGGGAGGACAGGGAAGTGGTCCTAAATCAGGGGATGCATTCACATCCCAGTGCTCTGCAGTGTCTGCTCTTGGCACACTGAACTTTAGGTTTCTCGTGGCTTTGTAAGGACAGCTCAAGGTCAGGTTTGACCCATTTGTCAACCAAGATTCTGTCTTGCTCCAGCTGCATTTTGCCCCTTGGAAAACAAAGGCAAGCCCTGGGCTATGCCAATCCCATTCTTTCCCTAGGGATTTCATCTAATTGGGCAAAACCTGGGCTTGGGATGTTGCAGGAAGCTCATCTGTCTCATGCTTTGCATCCTACAGGCTACCCGCGCTACCTGGTTGTAGGAGACCATCTGTCTGGAGAGCATCATTTGAAAATCCTGAGGGCTGACCTCCAGGATGACGCTGTCTATGAGTGCCAAGCCATCCAAGCAGCGATCCGATCCCGACCGGCCCGGCTGACCGTCCTCGGTAGGTCTGCTTTTCCATCACTCACAGCTTTTTTGTGGGTTTTCTGTCCTCAGTTGCAAAATGTTTTGTTGCTGAGCCAGGACAGCTGGAAAAGAGTCCGTGGTGAGAGAAATATACTGTGATCCCAGAAGTGATAACAGAGGGAGCAGAGCAGTTGTGGAATGAGTAGCGTGGGCATGGAGTTTAGTACTTCAGCTCTACAAATACAAGGCACTCACACACATGTAAGGGTATCAGTGGTGTAGCAGAAATGCTGTTTCACAGCCTGAAGCAGTGATGGAGCACCTGGTGAGAAGGCAGGGCTGACCCAGTGGAGCTCAGGTGCATGCAATGCACTGAGTGATGAAAGGGCTGCAGCCAGGATCCACCCCTTCCCAGCCCTCACTTAAGGGTTGGCAGTGGAGGTGAGGGGGTCTTGCTGGAGATCGTTGCATGGCTGAGACCTTCCAAAGGTAAGCAGCTTTTTTTTCCTTGATTTCTGCACCTGTGGCTGCTGCTACGGTACTGGTTCTGTCTGTGGGTATGGCATCAGTACCTGAGAAAACAGGTTGTCATTTTTGGTCTGTGATGTTCCCTCTACCACTCTGTCCAGTCCCTACCCTCAACCTCCCCCTTATGCATCCTCTCTTCTCCCTGGCCTGCCTACGTCGATGGTTTCCATTTGACCCATCCTTCTGGTCAGTGAAGCAGAAGCTCTAAGCCTTAGCATGGCCCTGTATGGGAATGAAGCCTCCATCAGCCCAGCTGTGCCTCCTCCTTCTGCTGCAAAGTCAGGCGATGTTGCTGGAGCCAGACAAAAGAAATAATGTTATTTAATTAGAGCTAAAGATTTCAAAACTAATTTAGTCCCAGGGAGTACAGGCATATGTCAGTGCTCTGAGCGTTGATTGAGCAGAGAGATGCTGTTGTGGATCAAAAGGAAATCGTTATTATCTTTGGGGTTATGGAATGTGTTGAATAGATGGTAGTTAATGTTTATGTGCGTATACATGTAGCTGCTAATTGGTACATTTACCTAAGATGTTCAGCAACTTATGTTTGCAGCATGTTTTCCTTTTAGGAAAATTAAAGTTAGAGCACGTTCAGAGCAAACCCAATCGATGAGAGGATGGGACTCAGCATCCCTCTGGTTCCATTACTCCCACTGGTTCCCACTGTTCTGCTGTATGTGTGCCTGCAGATGTTCCAAGGAAGCTTAGGGCTGGCCAGGGGTGCGGGAGGGAGCACAAAGTAGGAAAACGCTTCCATCCATTGCCCACCTGGCGGGAGGTGGCACTGTCTCCTGGCACTTGGCTGTGGTAGCCATGGGCAGCCATGTGTGTATGTGTGGTGCTCTCAGAAGGCCAAGCGTGGGTTTGTACAGCTGGGCCGTTTCACCCCATCCTCCTCTGTCACACCCAGGCTGTGTCCTCTGGAGCATACTTTGCTCACCTGGTTTTCCGCATGGGTTGGTGCTGCTTTGTCCATCCTTGCCAGCTTTTCCACTTCCTTGGTATCAAGGAATCCCCTAATGCCTCGGAATTCAGATTCCAACTGCTGTCATTCATGTCTGACAACAGCTCTACGGGGCTGCTGTCTCCTGCTCCCCTGCTTGGATGCAGAGCTACACCATATTTTAATTAAATATTTAAGGTTTTGTCACATTGTTTTCAAGTCTACATGGTTAAACGTAGTGGAACAGATCATTCCATAGCCTTGGAAATCCAAGCACTCAAACAGATGAGCATTTGATGTCGTCAGCATCGGGAGAAGTCTTGTATTTGTGGGGTTTCAGGGACAGGTACTGCTCAGGAACTCAAATAGACAGTCCTGAACCCCTTCCTGTGTCCTCCCATTGCCCCAGGGCAATTCTGGGGCACTGTCGTTCCTGGGGACTTCTGTCCAACAAGGAAGACAGTGTGCAGTTGAGTGCTAGAGTGGGATTTTGGGGATGCGGAGCCAGTCATCTGCCCCCAGAAAGGACAGAGGGACTCCGACAGGTCACCCAAAGCAGCTTGGAAGATGTGCTGTGAGCTTCTGGGACCACGTGCTGGGAAGGAAGAGGCTGTTGGGTTGATTTCAAAAGCCACAGGAGGTCTATTTGCTACCTGGTACATCTTTAATGGCAGGGTTTCTTAATTTATGATCTATTTAACCAAGCTGGGGGTATTAATTAAATAAAGTAAGAGCCTGATTAGGACTTGGAGAAATTTAAAAATAAAATCAGACAGCAATCGAGTGAAATTGCAAAGCAAACACTTCGGCTGTAACCACCGGAGAGTTCCCTCCGGTCTTCCATCAAAGCTGGGAGCAGGGAGGGCAAATACAAGAGATTATATAGCCAACAGATGTGTGCTGTTAAAATATGCATCTGCCAGCCGTGTAGCTGGAGGAGCCGCAGGGATGGCTTGTGGAGCCTTCTGCACCCAGGGGACCGTGCAGGAATCAGCGGCCCTGGCAGCCGAGCTGGGATTTGCAGGCACGTTAATTAGTGTTGAGTTCCCAGCTCCTGAATACAGCCAAGCAAGGAGAAACTGGGAGGAGAGGTAGGAAAAGAGGGGCATGGGGTGAGCCCCGGCAGCAGGAGGGTGAGAAAAGTCTCCAGGAACCAGAATGTGGGAACTTGGAGGCTCCAGGATGCAAAATTTGGGAATTTAAAGGCTGTGTGGCTCTGCGCACCACCATCGGCCCTGGGGAGATGCTGCAGCCTGGTGGCAGCCAGGAGGGAGGGGACCACAGGGCTGCGAGGACGGGTGCAGCGGTCAGCTGATAGCAATTAATTCATACATCACCTCTCACTGTCTCAATTCTCCTGCTCCACGGCTCCTTCCAGCCTTAATTCTGCCTTCGCATGCATCCCATTAGAAGCGAAGCTTTCTTAAATCAACATGAATTATTGAACAGTACAGATTAAGTTAATTTGAAGTGAGAGCTCCTGCCTTAGAAGATGGCACAAGGCAGGGGTGGGAAGAAGGAAGGTCGCCGCGGTGCCGCGCGGTTCCCGTTCAGTCGCGACCTTTTCCCTCTTTTTTTCTGCTTCTTATTTTATTGAAATGTCTCTTTCCATCCCAGTCTCAACAGCCCTCCCCTGCAGAGCAGAGTAAGCTGTTTCTATTACCAGAATGATCACTGGCAGCTCGAGACATCTGCGTTTCTCAGCTTTCCTGCTCTTTAGCAGAGTTTGATCAGAAAATGAAGAGGTTATGGCCTGGGAAAGGCCATTTTTCAGTATTAGTTTGTAATGCCAAGCTGCAGTGAGAAACTGGAACAGGGGCTGTTTCAAAGCGTGAACCGGTCCAACCTGGAACTGTCTCAACTATTTTCCTGTACTTTTTAACAGAATTAAATTCTTTGAATGCAAAATTCAGCCTGAACCAGCATGTAGAGTCAGAATGTCAATGTGGAACAAAAAAAAAGAAGTGATAGAAATGCAATCGTTTTCTTCCTGATAGCCTGAAAAGCCTTGAAACAGTTTCTGTCTTCATGAAGCTGCTTTCTCTGCTGGGAATTTTTTCAGTGGCAAAACAGTAAGCGGGTCTGCTGAGAATGAAACAGCAACATCAAACAATCGAGCGCAAATCCCAAATAACTTAAATGTTTGATGCTGTGTCTGAGCAGCTTAAGTTTACAGCACTCAGAGCCTGCAGTGGGGGAGGAGGGGTGTCCTGGGGTGGGGTGGTGCTGAGCTCCTTGGTGGAGGAGGATGGGGGGCAACCCCACGAGTGCTGCTTTCTTGTTTTGGAAGGAGATGGGCAAAAACAGTTGATGCTGTCCCTCGGATGCCCATCTCTCAGCATCGTGGTGTTGGGTTCAAGCTATGTGGCCATGCCTCCTTTCACCATAGATTAATGTCTTATTAATCACACTCTTGGCACATATAGGGGACTATAAACAGGGCTTGGTTTCCTAGTAAAGCTGTACCTGCCCTTCTGCTGCATCTGTCACACTGATGCAAAGATGGAGTGGCTGAGGGCTTTTGTAAGCCCAACCCTGGAGTCGTTATCTCAAGCTATTTTATGAACAAGCCTGCAAAATTCAGGCTTCTTCCAAGCCCTGTGCCCAGGGGTTAGGCGAGGCTGTCGTGTGCTGCAGGTAAATTAATGGATAGCGCTGGGGATGCAGAGCCAGCTTGGATGCTGAAGGGAGATTTGGGTGCCTGGCAGCTCTTCTCTTCTCTCTGGACTCTGTCCCTTGGTCTTCCAGCAATGCCACCTCCCATCAAACTTCACCTTGCTTCTGTCCTCAGCACTCCTACCCGCATGCTGAAGAGTGAGTGGCCAGTAAATGGGAGGCGACGCATTTAGAAATGATTAATGTCAGGATTCTTGCACTGAGCTGTGATTTCTTGTCTCGATGCAGGGAGGGCCTGACCTGTGCATTTAGCAAGCACGGAACATTCAGCTCTGCCACAGACAGTCCTGTGCTCTGTAATGAGCTGATGGATGCCACGCTCATAGAGCTTGTGGAAACCAAAACACGTGTCTGTGCAAAGCCTTCTTTGCTTTGCACACCCACGCTTCCCTTCTCTTTTTCCCAATCACAAAATCTCCCCATCTGCACCCTGTGCATGCTCCCCTGCATCTGCATCACACACAACTCCTGCATCCCTCCCCACAGCACAGACTGCAGTGCTGTGGGGTCGGGCATCGTGTGCAGCTTGTTAGTGAGCTGACATTGGCATTGCTGCTGTCCCCTTGGCAGCTGGCAGAGAGCAATGAGGCCCTCAGAGCGTGACATCCCTGCAGCAACAGCCCCCGCTTCTCCATCGATCCCCCAGATGAAAAACGAGCCCGAGGCTCTGCAAGGGCAGGGATGGCCAGGAAGCAGGAAAGCATCAGGTGCTCCTTCTGCCTGCCAGCCCTGGGGCTGAACATCAATTCCCCTCCACCCGAAGCCAGGGCAGGGATTGCCTGGGGCAGAACTTCACAACCATCTCGTGATTCACCCATGGGTGTCCTTTGTGATTGATGGCAAGTAGCTTCACCTCAGGGATATCTGTCTCATGCTATGGCAGATGTTGG